CCAAAATAGCCAAACAATATTGAAAAAGTAGGACAAAGTTGGAGAATTTATTCTTCTGAATTTCAAAACTTAGTATGAAGTCACAGTAGTAAAAAGAGTGTGGTACTGGCATAAGAATGGAAATGTAGACCACTGTGGTAGAAGTAAGAGTCAAGAAATGAAGTCATGTGTCTTTGGCCAAAAGGTTTTTTACATAGGTACTAAATCCATTCAGTGAGGAAAGAATAGTCCCTTCAACTCATGTGCAAGGACAACTGGATTTCTATGTGCAAATGAGTGGACTCCAACTCGTACCATTAAAAAAAAAAGCTCAAAATGTATCAACAACCTAAATATAAAAGCTACAACCGTAAAACTCTTGGAAGAAAAACTGTAGGGTATACCATCATGACCTTATCTTAGGTTTAGCAATTAATTCTTAGATATGATACTGAAAGCATAAGCAAAAAGAAAAAATTGATAAATTTGACCTCATCAAAATAAAAACTTGTGTGCATTGCATCAAAGGACATTTTTAAGAAAGTGTAAACTAAAGAATGGAAGAAATTATTTGCAGAACAAATAATTTTTGTGCGGAAGTGGAAAAAAGGTTTTGATATCTGGAATATATAAGTAACTCCTATAACTCAATAATGTAAAAACAAACTACCCAGTCAAAAATGGACAAATAACTTGAATAGGCATTTCTCCAAAGAAGATAAATTAATAGCCAATAAATCCCCCTCATGAAAAAGTATTCAACATCATTAATCATTAATGAAATTAAGTTAAAACCACAAGATACCACTCTATACCTACTGGGATGACAAAAATTTTTTAAAGAAGGAAAGAGTTTGCAAGAATGTGGAAGTTGTTTGATGATAAGAAGGTAAACATAACGTTATCATATGACCCAGCAATTCACCTCCCAGGTATATACCCAAAAGAATTGTAAACAGGAACTCAAATAGATACTTGTACACCAGTATTGACTGAAACAGTATTACAATAACTAAAAAGTAGCAACAACCCAAGGGTTCATCAACAGATGGAGAAATAAAATGTGGCATGTACATACAATGGAGTACATAAAAAGATGAAATTGTGATACATACTCCAACAAATGTGTGATTCTACTTATATGAAATATCTGAAATAGGCAAATTCATTGCGATAGAAAGTAAAATGGTGGTTAGAGCTTGGCAGGAAGGGGGAAATGGGGAGTTATTCCTTAATGGTTACAGAATTTCTCTTTGGGATGATGAAAAAGTTTTGAAAATATGTAGTGACAATGTTTGTACAACATTGTGATATAACTAATACCACTGAATTGTACACTTAAAATGGTAAAATGGCAAAATTTGTTATATATATATACATATATGTATATGTATATGTATATGTATATGTATATGTATATGTATATGTATATATATATATATAACCACTTTTAAAAATAATTGACAATATACCAAAAACTATTGAATTGTACACTTTAAATCGTGAATAGTATGGTACATGAACTGTATCTCGATAAGGCTACTTTAAAAAAATACTTCTCAATTTCTGTGATTATATGCCATAGGAACTTTTTTTTTACCTTGTATCGTTTTAGTTTACCCTGTATTGTATTAGTCTGCTAGGCCTACTTTTACAGATTACCATAAACTGGGTAGCTTATAAAACAGGAATTATGGCAGCAAGAAGTCCAAAGTCAAAGTGTTGGCAGGATTCAATACTTGAATTTTGGAGGGACATAGTTCAATTAAAACATAAATTTTCATTTAACAGTGTGACATAAGGATTTACACATTATAAATTGTCACAAACATTATAATATTAATGATTATAGAAGGATATCTGCTTATCCAGGTTCCTATTAAATATTTATTTTTTGCTTCTATAATGTAATTACTCTGAATACTTTTATACACTGCTTTTTTGGTGCTATTTTCTTAGCACAGATATCTAGAAAGAAAATTGTCAGATCATTTTAAAGTACTTGATACATACCACAAATCTTTGCAAGTATGAGAAGCATTTCTTGCTTTTTTAGTAAACTTTTTTTTAATCATATTTTCTCTTTGTGAATTATCTAAGTCATTTGCCCATTCAATTTTGTAGCCTTAATGTTTTTCTTATCAATTCAGATAAACTCTTTGTGTAGTAAAAATTGTACTTTTTAAAATATTTTCTGTACTTATTTCACCAGTTTATCATTTGCTCTTTAATTTTAGTTTTGTTTATCTTTCAAATTGTAGATTTGTTTTTATTTTCCTTGACATTTCTTCTACTGCTTCAAAGCATGGCTTGTCCTTTTTTCAGAGTTTGCCAACTATATAATTCTGCATTTTCCTGTATATTTCTATTGGGTTTAAAAATATTTCACTATAATTCATTTAGGATTTGTTTTGCTAAATATACGTATGTATGAGAATCACTTTGTTCTTTTATTGCTAGCTGCTGGTTCCAATTTCATTAAGTAGTCATTGCCTTCCTCAGTGATGGACGGTATCTTCATGTGCTGAATTAAACTACTTTGGAGTGGAGGTTGTATTACTCAGTACTTTATCAAAGATTTGTCATATATTTAATATCTGAAAACAATATTTTCCTCTTCCCCTATTTACTCTTCTTCCTTTTTCCCAGTCTCCTTTGGTATTTTTACCAATCTGTTTTTGCCTATATAGTAGAAACATTTATCTCCATCCTCCACCCCTGCACTACCTCCCACATTTAAAAAAAGGTTTTCTACTAAATTTGCAAGGAATGTAATTTGAGAAATATTGAATACATGTACATTTAATCTTTCTTGTCAAGTATTTGGTATTTTTCTACATTGTTTCATCTTCTTTTATATGTTTCGAAAAGACTTGTAGTTTTTCATATAATTCAAATTATCCGGTATGTTTTTCCTCATTTGTGTGTATTCATTTCTGGTGATTTTTGTTTGAATGTTTTTGCTATTAACAATGAAATTTACTGTGTTTTCTTATTGCTTATTCTACTATCTGCAAGTATTAGATTTGTGTTTATATGCAGTTTTACTCAACTTTGTCAATTCTAAAACTTTTCAATTGATTCATTTGTATTTTCTGGGTAAACAGTTATAGTAAATGGAAATTATAATGATTTTATCATTTTTCTTTACAACTTCCATTTCTTTTAACTATTTCATATATTACTTGGTCAGACAGACTATCTAAATCTAATAAGAGACAGAATGGGAGGTACCCTTTTTGCTGTTATTATTCCTGAATGTATGTATGTACTTCCAGTGTTTCAACAGGAAGTATTATTTTGTCTGACAGTTTAGAAATGGACACTTTTTCAGCTGAGAGAATTTCTATACTCCTGTTTTGCTTTCTGTTATTATGGGACTCGGGATAGTGTTGGGACTGTCATCAGATTTTATCAGATACTTTTGGGCAGGAGTGCCTAGTGAGATCATCATATAGATTTATTTTACTTTATTAAAATAATAAAATTTTTCACATTTATTAGTTAAGTTTGTTAATATTACTTTCAGTACCTACAATAAAACCTATTCTTTTGTGGTAGATTGTTCTTTTTTTACGTAAGGTTTAATTTTATTCATCAGCATTTTATCTGTCTGTTTTACATCCTTATCAGTAAGTGACATGAATCTATAATTTTTTGGTGTTATCTTTGTTAGGATTTGATAGGGTAATTTTGCCTTGAAACTTCTAGTACATGCAGATATCCCAACTAACATACTAAACAGAACAGCCAGCCAAAAGTGTTCCTCAGATGAAAAAAATGGAAGTGTAGTATAGGTAAGCAGTTAGTGCTGCATGTTGGGTTAGCCATCATTTTCATGGAGATGTGTAACAGCCAAAAATCCAACTGTGAAGCAGCTTTAGCCGGTTTCAGCAGAGCACTGCTTGCAGGTTGCCTCGGAAACTACTGGACAGTCTGGGTCTTGGATATGGTAGGCATTTCATAAGTAGTCTTTGAATAAATTATTAAATATTACAGTGGATACCCCAGAGACATTTCTCAGGCCCACGTTGATAACTTTGGTTTCTTTTTTTTAATTACATACCTCAAATGTAAAGAAGTCACATAGTTTGCGTTTGACTTTAAATCAATTCTACTGTTACCAATGTTTCTGCTCTTAATAATGGCTTCAAAAAAGGACACAGTGTCCTCCAGAGCTTGAGTCTTTGTTGTCACTAAACATAAGCCCTAGATTGTTTGTGCTTTAAAAGTTCTATTATCGATCTCCTGGGAAAATAGATAGCATATAACAAAGTAATTGACAGCTTTCAAAGTTCAGGAAAGCTTACAGTTATAATCTCTGTATGCTTCTGTTTCCCTTTAGCCAGTACCTGGAAGACCCTTTGGACTTGACATGTTCCTTTCTCCCTTATTACTGAGAGTATATTTCATCCTTATTTCTTAAAACATGGCTTTTAACCAAATTTCTCCTCTTTAAGGCCTTACCTAAATACAAAAGAGACCTGTCATTTTTTTTCTAGAGTAGATATGAAGATGTTAAACTAGACCTTTGCTCTTTCTCTCTAGACCATACAGAATTCCCCTTTTCTTTTCATATAGTTTAGCTCTACCATCCTCTTTGGGGTAGTTTAGCATCTACCCCCAATTTAATCTTTTAAAGATATAAATGCATTTATAGCCTTTATTAGTTCCACATCAGAAACAGGATGCAGTTTGATTCAACAAAATGTGTATATATTAGGAATGTAAATGTGAAATAAATAATTATGTAAACACCAGCAGAAATTACAGATAAATGTATAATCTTGAGTTGAAGACTATAAAAAACAACAATAAGAGAATATACACTGAGAAAAATATTCTCAACATATGGCAGACAAAAGCTTCACAGTCTTAATAAGAAAGTATTATTTTTATGTGATAATATACAAAAATAAAATTCAGTTATATGGACAGTCTTTTATATTTTAGAAAGAAGTTATTACTTAATATTTTATTATTCTTACAGATTAACCAATTTTCTGTTATTACTTCCATAGCAAAAACAAATAAGTTACTCACCAGGGGTATGTAGCATAGAACATCAGCAAGAGATAACCAAGCTAAAGACCGATTTGGAAAAGAAGAGTATCTTTTATGAAGAAGAATTGTCTAAAAGAGAAGGTATACATGCAAATGAAATTAAAAATCTGAAGAAAGAACTGCATGATTCAGAAGGCCAGCAACTTGCTCTCAACAAAGAAATTATGATTTTGAAGGACAAATTGGAAAAAAACAGGAGAGAGAGGTAAGAATTAAGCTATTTACTCCTCTAATGAATATTTACCAAGTGCCTCCTGTGCTAGGGATGGGAGATACAGATCAATAAACATATCCAAGTCCTTAGGGAGACCAAAGTCAAGACTAGTAAATAGAAAGTTACAATACAGCAGGATAGAAAACACATGAATTAGTACATGTATGAGGAAAAGTGTAGGAGCACCTGTAACTTTGATAGAACAAAAGGTAACTTTGGTGTGTCTGGGTTTTTTGGACACAACTATTTCTGAATTAACAATGAAGAAATAAGAAATATACAGCTGTCAAAGAGTGTCCATGTGGACATAGCAGAATGCACCAAGATCTAGAGGAAAGGGGGAGCATGGCACATTCAGAAAATGAAACTTTTATGGTGGAAGCATAAAAAGGAAGCTGAGAGACTGAGAACCAAGCTGCAAAGGAAAATAGAGGCAAGATCGCAGAGTGTGAGGGACTTGGACTTCATGTTAAGGCCATTGAAGGGAAGTGAAATTGTTTCTGGAAGATCACTTTTGCTGCTGTGTGGAGAGTGGGTTGCAGACTACAGATGGGAATCCAGCTGTGAGAGCAACTGTGGTGGGTGGGCCTTATGTAGTGATAGCAGAGATGGATGGGTTGAGGATTTGAGAGTTCTACTGGGAAGTCCAAGCATGGAGAACATAGTGATCAGAAATGGGGAGCAGAAGAAATTACCAGTGGTACTCAGGTTTCTAGATTTTAGGCAACTGAATATATATATGTTATTGTCATTCTCAACTTACACTGGAGGCATAAGTATGTCAAATTTGATACGTTCATTCAACAAAAATGTTTAAAATCTGTGTACAAAGCACTGTGTAGGCCCTGGGAACATGACAGTGAACCGACAGCAAATCTGTGTCCTTACAGAGCATCCCTTTGGTTAGGGTGAAAGACTATACCAAAATGAGTAAAACATAGAATATATTAGCCAATGGTAAGTGCCAAAACAAAAAATAAGGCAGAGGATGGGGCTATGAAGCATTAGGAGTGAGGATTGAATTACATACATAGTATGGCCAGGAAAAGCTATACCGAGAAGGTGACTTCTCAGTGAAGATGTAAAGTGGGCACTTCTCTGTTCAGAGGTATGAGAAGAACATTGTACACAGAAAACAAGTTTGTTAAAAAATAATGAGAAGGCAAAACTATGAAAACGTAAGAGGTTTATGGTTGCCAGGAATTGGGAGAAGGAGGGAGGAACAGGCAGAGCACAGAGGATTTTTAGGGCAGTGAAAATATTCTGTATGCTGCTATCATCATGGAAGGACTGACAGTTGGAGAGTTAACAGAGACAGCTAGAAAGAAGTCAGAGATGTAGGCTGAAAATTAGGAGAGTCAATGTACTGCTGAAGCCAAGGGAGGAACACATCTCAGGAAGGCCTGGACAGCACTTGATTGGATGCTATAACACGACAGTAGTGAGTTTGGAGACAATGGTGTTTTTGAGGTGCTGGTGGCAGAAGCCACATTTTGGTGTGGTAACAAGAAAGTGGGTACAGCAGACTCTTTGAAGACTTCAAGGTGTTATGGGTGAGCAGAAAGTCAAGGAAAGTGGAAAATGAAGTGTAGGGTTTAGGAGAGAGTTTGTTTTGTTTTAGTATGGGAGAAACTTAAGCTTTATTTGATGCTAATAGGAAAAGACCAGAATGGTTTTTCCATAGAAATTTTATTCAATTCATTCATGTACATATTTTTCTGAAAGAAGGTTTCTTTGTAATTTTTCATGTTTGTTATTTGGGGTTGTTTGTGAATCAAGAAAAATTGTTGACTAAATTCACATTTTGATTATAGATAATAAAGAAAGTGGCACATTTGCTTTGATGAATGCATGATGGGTTATTTTTTGGAACTTATAATTTAAATTATAATTTCCTTCATATTCAATAATTTATTGATGTAAGGGGTTTTTAAGATTATGTTCTTAAAGTCAGCCACTATTACGTTCTTTGTCGACTTGGTAGCAATCATACGAAATTACTCAGAACTGATCCACATTGAATTTCATTTGTTTCATCAAACTGCCATAGACAAAAGCCACTTTATCTACATTTCAACTCTGTTTGAAAACTGATTTCCCTTTCACCCCAAGAAGGTTTTTAAAAAGTCTGTTAGATATATGTTTACCTCTAATATTTAACATTAAACATTACCTCTAAGGGTGAATTAGTTCTGCTGCCCACAACTATCATTTTAAATAAGCCTCACAGTGTTGAATTTGTTGTATTCATATGAATGTGTGTGTAGATAAGTAGGTACTTAGGTAAGAAGGAACAAGGAAAGGAAGGAAGGGCTGAGCATATTGAGAGAACTGTTGCAAATTTAATGGAGAATTTCGGGGCAATCTAGAGCTGATATAAAGAATCATACTGTGGTCCATATGCCTCCTCTCTGCCTAACCTCCTTGTCTTTCCATACTTAATAATATATACATAACCAAATACAGTGAGCACTGTCAGGGACCTAGGACCTACAAACCACAGATGTCTTAGATTTTCAAATGAAAAATAAAGTAGATGTTATTGAAAATCTATTTGTTAATTAAAAGGAAGTGATTATAACTTAGTTTTAAGGGAAAATATTGGGACTTGGAACAATCAAAATATAGGAGACTTTTCAAAACAAAGCATATGGTGCAGTAGCCAATCTGGGATACCATTATTATATCTTCAATTCATTTTTTCCTCTTATGTTTTTAATTGTGTTAGTCAAAGTGAAAGGGAAGAATTTGAAAATGAGTTCAAACAACAGTACGAACGAGAAAAAGTGTTGTTAACTGAGGAAAATAAAAAACTGACAAGTGAACTCGATAAGGTGAGTGATTTAATCTTATTTATAGTCATTGAGTACATGTTAAGGATTCAGCACTGTGATAGAAATCATGGATATAATTTTGTATTTGGTGCACATTTTTGGTTTAATACTCTTCCTTATGCACACCTTCCTATACCGTACTGGCAGTTTTTCATTATATCAATCTGCACAAGATTATTCTGGAGACAGGATGTTGCTTATCTCATCTTATTCTTTGTCCCAAGTGTTTTTTTAGTGTCTATTAGTTATTTCACTTCCCCATATTTTCTCTTTTCTTTCGTATTCGCTACTTACTCTATTATGGCAGTTTAAGTTAAGGCTGGCCCCTGGCAAGAGCATGTAAGTCAAACTGTAGAAGTTTTGACAATGTGATGTGATAATCATGATGGAGAATAATGATAATTAGAAATAATACCATTAGTTAGTAGGTAAGAATCCAAGAAAATCAACTCTGCCTAAACTGTGTAGCTTGAATAAAGCAAAACCATAGATTAGACTTAGAAGTGGCTAGATTTATGAACAAAATTTCAAATAACATAAAGGATTGTTTTTCCATTTAGTATCTCAGATTTCTTGAACTGCCATCATTCTGCATTTCTTGTGTTAGCTGACAGCTGTAAAAATCCTAATACTAATGAGAAGTCTTAATAATTTTATTTACATTTAATGTTTGGATAACTGTGTTTTATAATGTTTTCTAGGATTTTCCTCCAATAAAAACATTGTGTTCAATTATTATTCAGTTATTCCAATAGCAGATTCAAAGATCATGACTAAATAATCATAAAAGAGAGACTCTACATTCTATCTTGGTTTTCCGCTGTGTTCCATATATCTTTTCTTATTACTTTCCCCATGATTAGCTTTCTTAACATTTTTAAAATGACTTGGCTTGTGTGGTTGAAAACTACCTGAGAAAGAACTCTGTTACTTCATTTTGTGAAGTCTTGTAGAGCTGACATACACACTGTGGAAAGTGGCCAAATAGTAGTATAAATGGATTTTTTAAACTATGTTTGTATAAATATTATCATATAACCATTAGTTATTTCCACTAAAATAAATTTGACAATATTTGAACTTTTTCCAAATGGGCCACATAGTTGTTATTTCATATGTTTGACTAATAAAACTACAAAATTAAACATCATTTCTGTCTACAAGATAGAATTTTAAGATTGTTTAAGAATTCCTTGAGGTAAGAAATATAATTGAACACTAGAAGGCCTCTTCATGTAGTTTCTAAGCCAAGTACTTAGTAAAAGATGGTATTATAGTTCAAAAAAAGTTGTACTGGGAAATAATCAACTGAATTAGATCAAATCTTGTATTCACCACTTGATTTTATTTCATTATTAACCAAAAAGGTTTGCCAAGTTTACCAAAAATACATACTTACAGATAACTTTTAAACAATACTCTTGATTCTGGTGTGACCTGAAGGATAAAAATAAAAGCCTGTCTCCTAAGTTTATAAAAATAAAACATTACCTTTCCTGGCTAAATTGAAAGATCTGGCAAAGAATATGAGTAGAACTTTGAGAGCAAATTCATATGTAGCAAGTATTTAGTGACTGGTGACAAGGAAATATTTTTTCCTAGAGAAATAGGGAAGCATCTAGGGTCTCTGCTTCCATTTGAACCTCTTCTCTATTTTTGTTCCTTTCACTCAGCTTTGCTTCTCTCTCTACTTAACTCTTAGTCCACCTAACTGCACATCTTTGATGTTTTTGTTTACTCATTTTCTGGTTTGGTTTGAATTGGGTGTTTTCCTCAAGAGGCATAACCAGAGAAGCTTGGTATACCAGTTATTGCATTGGGAGTCAGCTTGAAGGGAAGGGAATTACTTCTTAACAGAATTTCTGATAGAGAAGCCAAAAAGCAGTTCTGTTCATTTCAAAATTTAAATAACTAATAGAGTCTTAAATTCACATTTTTAAACTCCAAAGTAAAAATTTAAAGGAAATAAAAAAAAAGTTTGCTGATATTTTTCAGAAGTCTGTAAATTCTACTTTTTACTAAAAGACAACTTACTCTAAATAAATTAGCCAGGAAGTGAAAGTAATTGGTTTCTAGAAAAAAAAGAAATGTATCATTTGTATCTTGTTTTTAAGTTATTATTTTACAAAAAAGCAAAATTACAAAACAATGTGGAAAATATTCAGTGTGAAATTTACCCATGATCTTAGCACCACAAACAGCTCTTTTGATTTTATATGTTCCTTTCCCAATTTTGTTTGTGTACATGTTATATTACCTAATCACAGTCATATATACATTCTATTTTCTAATCTGTCTTCACTTAAAATGTTATGAATATTTTTCCACATTCTTATGTAGCTTTATAAATTATTATAAACCAGATATGTCAATGTACAAATAGTAAAACCTTTTCATTCCCAAACATGCACAATGAACTGATACATAGGTATTATTTACTTTGTGTAGATCCTCTTTGGAATTACTTTATATAAATCACTTACCCCTCTCAGTAGCTCTCTGAGGTGTACTGTGGTGTTCTCACCATTTTATAGATGAGAAAACTGAGGCAAAAGAAGATAAGTTACTTTCTTAATCAGGAAACTAGAAAGTGAATCGAATTTGAACACAGTGACTCCAGAGTCCATGCTTTTTTATTCTAAGTTACTTTCTTAATCAGGAAACTAGAAAGTGAATCGAATTTGAACACAGTGACTCCAGAGTCCATGCTTTTTTATTCAGTAATAATGAAAAGATTAACTTTTTCTGGCGAATACTAAACAAATAGATTTAAAACTACCAGTAACTATTTAAACTCTGTGTTTCCTCCTCTTTTTGTGAATCTCCAGCTGAAACCCCAAACACAAATTAGTTGGAAGGTCTGTCAAAAACAATGGTAATCAAAAAAGAGGATGTGTTGTAGGAATTAGTGAGACATCTGAAAAAACATTCTCAAAAACACCTGAGACTTCTGGCTGTAACATGAAGAGATTGATGAATATCTTCTCAAAGAAAAAAATGTTTCAAAGTGGATATATTTGTCTAAAATGACCATTTACAGCTCTGGGAACTAACCAGAGGAAGACCACTACAAAATACTGCTGAGATGAATTAAGGAATACCTAACCAAATGGAGAGGGATACCATGTTAATGGCTTGGGAGACTCCATATTGATAAGATGGCAGTCTCTCCTAAGTGCTCTATAGATTCAGGGAAACCCCTGTCAGAATTTTGGTAGGCTTTTTTTTAGAATTGACAAGCTTATCCTTAAATTTATATGGGAATGCAAAAGATTTATTATAGCCAAAATATTTGGGGAGGAAAGAACAAAAGTTGGAGGATTAACACCTCAAAATTTTGAAACTTAACTGTAAATCAAGAGTATAGTACTGACATAATGGAACGGAGTAAAGAGTCCAAAAGTAACCCTCGTATTTATGGTTGGTTGATTTTCAGCAAAGTGCCAAGGAAGTTCAATGGGAGAAGGATAATCTTTTCAACAAGTGGTACTGAAGCAATTGGATATCCATATGCAAAAAAAATTAACTTAGATACTTGCCTCATACCATATACAAAAATTAGCTCAAAGTGGATCATGAATTGAAATATAAGAGGTAATCATAAGAGAAAATCTTCATGATTTGGCATTCATCAAACATTTCATAGATACGATATTAAAAGCAAAACCTATGAGAGAAAAATAATGATAAATTGGACTTCATCAAAATTTAAAAATAACATTAAGAAAATGGAAACAGATGAAGAGGAAGCATTTGCAAATCACCTATCTGGTAGAAATACTTGCATATTACTTACCTGATAGAAAACCTGTTTTCAGAAGAAATGAAGAATTCTTGAAACTGGAGAAAACCTACAATGAAAAAAATGGGGGAAAATTTGAATAGACATTTCATAAGGAAGATACATGAATAACAAATAAGCACCTAAAAAGATGCTCAATATCATTAGTTTAGGAAAATACATGGTGTTAAAACCCTAGTAAGATACTGCTGTACACTCTCAAGAAAAAGTATAATCAGTAAGAGTGACCATACCAACTATGGCAAGAAATTTGGAGGAATTGGAACTCATATACTGTTTGTAGGAGTGTAAGGTGGTAGACAGCTTTAGAAAATAGCTTTGAAAGTTCTTAAAAAGTATACTCTATGAAACAGGCTAGAGAGCCCAGATATAAACCTAAGTACATATGGTCAATTAATATACAATAAAGGAGCCATGGATATACAATGGGGAAATGACAGCCTCTTCAACAACTGCTGTTGGCAAAACTGCACAGCTATATACAAGAGAATGAAACTGGATTATTGTCTAACCCCATACACAAAAGTAAATTCAATGTGGATGAAAGACTTGAATGTAAGTCATGAAACCATAAAACTCTTAGAAGAAAACATAGGCAAAAATCTCTTGAATATAAACATGAGCAATTTTTTCCTGAATGCATCTCCTCGGGCAAGGGAAACAAAATAAAAAATGAACAAATGGGACTACATCACTCTAAAAACCTTCTGTACACCAAAGGGCACCATCAGCAGAACAAAAAGGCATCCTACAGTAAGGGAGAATATATTTGTAAATGACATATCCGACAAGGGGTTAACATCCAAAATATATAAAGTACGCATATGCCTCAACACCCAAAAAGCAAATTTCTTCAGATGGCCAACAGACACATGAAAAGATGCTCCACATCACTAATTATCAGGAAAATGCAGATTAAAACTACAATGAGATATCACCTCATACCAGTTAGGTTGGCCAACATAGAAAAGGCTAGGAACAGCAAATGCTGGTGAGGATGCAGAGAAAGGGGAACCCTCCTATACTGCTGGTGGGAATATAAACTAGTTCAACCATTGTGGAAAGCAGTCTGGTGGTTTCTCAAAAAACTCAAAATAGAAATACCATTTGACCTAGGAATTCCACTCCTAGGAATTCACCCTGAGGATGCAGGAGCCCAGTTTCAAAAAGATACATGCACCCCTATGTTTATCACAGCACTATTCACAATAGCCAAGATATGGAAGCAACCTAAGTGTCCATCAGTAGATGAATGGATAAAGAAGATGTGGTACATATACACAATGGAATATTATTCAGCCATAAGAAGAAAACAAATCCTACTATTTGCAACAACATGGATGGAGCTAGAGGGTATTATGCTCGGTGAAATAAGCCAGGCAGAGAAAGACAAGTACCAAATGATTTCAGTCATCTGTGGACATAAGAACAAAGCAAGAACTGAAGGAACAAAACAGCAGCAGAATCACAGAACCCCAGAATGGACTAACATTTACCAAAGGGAAAGGGACTGGGGAAGGTGGGTGGGAAGGGAGGGAGAAGGGGAATAAGGGACATTATGATTAGCACACATAACATAGGGGGTGGTGCACGGGAAAGGCAGTATAGCACAGAGAAGACAAGTTGTGACTCTATAGCATCTTACTTAGTACACTGATCGATAGTGACTATAATGGGTATGTGGTGGGGACTTGATAATGGGGGGAATCTAGTAACCACAATGTTGCTCATGTGATTGTATATTAATGATACCAAAATAAAAGAAAAGTAAGCCTAGGGAATATAGTCAATAATAAAATAACTTTGTATGATGACAGGTGGTAACTACACTTATGTGGTGAGCATTTGGTAGTGCATATAATTGTTGAATCCCTGTGTTGTACACCTGAAACCAATATAATATTTTATATCAACTATACTTGAATTAAAAGATTAGTGTCCACCAAGTGCAGGATCCTTGGTAATTTGTTCAAGCTTTTAATTATACTCATTGAAAGGCTACATTTTAGGAATAGGGGTGAAACAGAAAGAGGTGAGATTTCTCAGTGACTGAAATCCAGCTTTTAAATAATTCAATCCCTGATCTATCTTTAGTCTGCATTCCCGACAGAAGTAAAAGTAAATATTCTCTGGAGGAAGATACTATACTGAGCTTCAAATTATCTCTAAAATTTTCATTTACAATGTGTCATGCAGTAAAAAATCACCATGCATACTAGGCAGTACAATCAAATCACAATCAAGAGAAAATAAATAAGAGCAGAAATAAGAAATATAAGAGCAAAAATAAGAAAAGAAAAATGAAAAAGTATAAAAAATGAAAAGTCAATATAAATAGACCCACAGGAATTCCAGTTTGGAATTTTCATAAATGAACTTTAAAATAGCTATACGATATACTCAAGGAAATAGAAAATATGATGAAGAATTTCAGCAGACAACTTGAAGTGTCAAACAGAATTTCTAGAAGTGGAAAATGAAATAACTGAAACACCCAATAGAAGATTTTAATAGCATATTGGAAAGAGCCAAAGAAATGAGTAAGAAAAAACTGAAGTATGACTTTTTATCCAGACTAAAGGATGAATGGAGGTTAAAAAGGTTGGAAATACATTAAAAGAGAATATGAGACAGAGGGGACATGATTGATGAAAAGGTCTTGTATACAAAAATGTTTACTTTCCCTTAAGGGCAGGAAAGAGAGACTGGCAGAAGCAGTATCTGAAGAGTTAACAGCCCATAATTTTCCAAAACCTATGAGGAACATTAAACCACAAATTCAAGAAATGCCACGAACCCCAAAGATGACAAATAGAAATTAAACCCCACTTCAGCACATCATAGAAAAACTGCTGAAAACCAGCAACCAAAGAAAATCCTAAAAGCAGCCAGAGAAGAAAGACACATTATATTCAAAGGAACAAAAGTTAAACTGAAGTCTGACTTCCCAGCAAAGAAAGGAATAAAAACAAAGAACAAAAAGGAATGATATCTTCAAAGTGTTGAAGGAATATAACTGCCAACCCAGAATGTTACATACAACTAAAAATATCTTCCAAAAATGAAGGCAAAAATTCAGACTGTAGAAAACTGCAGGACAACCTACTTTCTTCAACAAATAAACTGCAAGAAAAACAGAAGTATTGGAGGAGAACTGATATGGACTGAATGTTTATGTGCCTCCAAAACTCAGTTTGAAACCCAGTCCCCCAATGTGATGGCATTCAGAGGCTGCACCTCCAGGAGGTGATTAGGTCATGAAGGCAGAGCCCTCATGAGTAGGATTTTTATCCTTCAAAAGGGGCCCCCCAGGAGCACCTCACCCCTTTCACTGTGAGGACTCAACCAGGAGGCACCCTCAGTGGACACTAAAGCTGCTGGCACCCTGATGTTGGACTACCCTCCTATAGAACTGTGAGAAATAACTGCCCAATCTATGGTATTATATTTTAGCAGCCTGAATGAAGACAGGAGCCTATAAATAAGAGAGACTGAAAAGATAAAGCAACCAGTAAGCTGTGTTAACTTGTTGGTATTATGACTCAATTTAACAAACTTAAGTTATTTGGTATTTTGAGATAACTGAAATTGAACAATATAGATAATTAAGTAAACTTGTTGAATTTGTTTAAGTATGATGATAATATTATGGTTATGTGTTAGAAGAGAGATCCTGTTTTATAGAGATAAACAGAAATATGTCTGGGCAAAGTTATATGCTGTCTGGTACTTGCTTTAGAATAATACAGGAGAAGAGATAAGACAGGAAGGAGTATAATGAAACCCAGTGGACACTGGAGTGAGAGTTGTTGGAGTTGGATGATGGGCTCATGGGAGTGCACTTAGCACCACACTGTCCATTTTTTAGTGTGCTTGAAATTCTTTATTAGTTTTTTTTTAGAGAGGATTGCATAGACACATTTTTCAGACAAAAAATGAGAGAAGTCGTTACCAGCAGAATTGGGGAGTCCTTTAGACAAATGGAGGACGTTCACAGTAGAACCGATTCAGTGTAGGAGTCAAGGAAAAAGAAAGGCAGAATTCAGAGTGCTTGTATATTTCCAAATTCAGTGACCAGAGGATGCAGAAGAAATTAGGAAGACAAGCATTTTTTAGTGAAGTATGGGGAGTTACCAGATCTAACAAGAGGCCTGTGAGCATCTTATATTCCTGTTCCTAAAAGTTACGCGTGTCTTTAAATGTCTTAATGTCTTAAAATTGCCTTTCAGCTTACCACTTTGTATGAGAACTTAAGTATGCACAACCAGCAGTTAGAAGAAGAGGTGAAGGATTTAGCAGACAAGAAAGAATCAGTTGCACATTGGGAAGCCCAAATCACAGAAATAATTCAGTGGTGAGTACTCTTTTTAAATGTGTAGTTGTCGATGATTTTGGATAGAGCCAAGTTGGTGTGAATTCCAGGAGGCTGCTGACATATTATTTTTTTAAATTTTTGCAGTGAAAAATATGTTTCCCTGAAAAGCATGATTTTATTACTGATCTGTGTTCATCTGTGTTTTCTACTATGTTCCTCTGTTCCCTTACTTCCCTGTATATCTCATTTCAGCTGTTCCACAAATGTCCAATTTGAAACTCCATTTAAATATCCCACAGCTTCACTGAAAGCTGATATTTCTAAGAAAAAATGTTACTTTCCTAGGACAGTTAATCCTTAAAAAACTGAAGAAACTCATTTACTAGCTGTAGATGAAATTTGCTAAGATGAAAATTGCTATACTTGTGATTATTTTAAGAAACAGAAAGCCTAGAGAAAAATTTAGAAACTAAATATGTTGTGCTATCACCTTCTTTCATAATTAGATTGATTCACACATAGCGTTTTAAAAACCTGAAATGGTTTAGTTTTATCAACTGTTCTTTAAGCTCCTAGGATTTAATTTTGAGTAATTACCTTAATAATTTTCATTTTAATTAATTCATTAAATGATTATTCTGCTATTTGTATATTTTTATGATACCTGAAGAAAGGAGAATCCAGTGAGGACTCTATTATTTTCTAATGAAAATTGGTAGCTTAACTTTTTATATTTACCTTACAACTTTTTGACTCTTAGCACACCATGGATGAAAACAGCTGGTTTCTTCATATATCTACAGACCAATCGTTTGGTGGGAATTTAGTTTCTTGTGTTTTTTATTTTGTTTCTGTAGCTATTTTTTTTTTCCATTTTACTACTTAGGTCACATCAATACCCTCCTTCTTAAATAAAATCAAAAGTGAATAAACACTCTTTTTAAGTAATCTTACCCAGGTGACTCAAGTATTTTGATATTGACCTACCTGTAGAGCTCCTATGTTAACCCATCTTTGGCTTATGAATGTGTCTATTCAATGAATAACTAAAGGAAATGCCCAAATTGTGAAAATTTGGTTGTATTCCCAATAGTAAAGTTAATGGTTCACTAATGTTTATGTCCTTGTCATCAAGCCTACATTTCTGAAACAAAATCATCTTAATTTTTAGCCAAGTGTATAATACCAAAAATCATGACTCCTTATTTGTAACTCAATTATTACATAATCAAATTTATAATGAAGATGTCCCTGAAAATGCCTTTTTCAGAAGACAGCTGATCTGGCCAAAGCCTGAGATCCTAGACCCGTAGTCTTGTCCAGAGGCTGGCATGATGGGTTCAAATGGAACGGGAAGTGGTTCTGGTAAAGGAAGGAAGCTTTAAGTGTGGGCTTTCTGGAAAGGGTAACAGGAAGGTGAAATTTTTATAACACAGAACACTCATTTTACACTTTACATTTTTCATATTCAAGTAAAATATGCAGAAGAAATCAGGAATGCAAGGATGTTACTTTGCATAAAAGCTATTATTTAGAAATGGACAAATATGTCAAATAGATTATTAAATACCTAATAGGTTAAAAGTAAAAGATATACTCCCTGTTCTTAGCATTCTCATCATCTGTTTGAAAGTTAACCCTGAAACACTCTATCCAAGCTTATAAAGGTTAAGATTCTCAGGCTATTCCAGTTTTTTAGTCTACTATATCAAAAAATGAAGTAATGCCCAAACAAGGTTTTAGAAACTTGATAATTATTATTTTAAATGTGTCCATTGGGCAAATTAACATTTTTAAAACAAAATAAGCACTGTTGTATATAAGACTTCATTTAAGTGCATTTCTAATGGCCCTCTTACTCTGCCCCCCTCCGCCTTTTCCTGTGAAATATCACTTTCATATGAAAGAAAACCTTTTAGGGTAGAGACCTTGTTGCTCATCACTGTATTAGAGCTGGGACCTTCCTTATCATTTCACACTTTCTCTTCAAAATGATATTAAAAGAGAGGCTGAAGTTACAGGCTAGTCTATGAGGCTCATTTTTTAAACGTATCTCCTCTCAACATATTGTACTTTTCTGGTACAATAGAAGATAGAAGGGTCTGTTAAAATGCAGCACTTTGCCTTCAAGTAGCTGATAATTTAACAGTTAAAAGTTTAAAAATTAATGTGACTAGAACTAGTGATAAGTTACCAATGTAAATTACCTTATGTATTTGTACAAATACTGGTTTTTCTATAGGAGTATAGAAAAGAGAATTACCTTAGACTAGGTGTTCAAGAACGTTGGGGGTAATCAACTGAACTACAGTGTGTTTTCTGAAAACACTGAATTTAAAAGATCCTATACCTGGTTTGATTTCATTGGAGAATTCATGTGAAAGAATAGTAGGAAATAAGACTAATTAAGTTATCGCAGCACAATTACCTTGAATACTTAGGGTAAGGATTTGAACTTTATTTATAAGAAGAAAGTTTTTGCAAAGGATAATAGCTTTGATTAAAATGATGAATTAGGAGGTAACTTCATATTCACAGTGGTGGTCAGTATGAAATAGAGGGAGATTTGGGAAAAATTAGACAAATGGAGAAGACATAATGGAAGAAGAATCTGTAGGACTTAATTATGGTTGAAGGGCAAACAAAGAGGAGAAACTGGTATTTCTGAAATTCTTAATTGGAGAGATTAAGAAAGTAATGGTACATTGAAGTAGGAAAGTCAAGAGAAGGAACCAACTTTGGGGAAGATATAATTAATTTTACTTTTCTTTATTGTTTGTTGGTGAGTCTGAGGTATCCTGAGAAATCCAAGTAGAGACTTCCAATCTACTTTTGAAAAGAAGGCATGAAAGTTAGGATTAATATAAATTTGGGGATTTAATTCCTAGTAAATAAAGCCATTGAAGTTGTTGAGATCTTTTTAGGAGAAAGGAAAGAAGGGTAATGGTGAGGCAACATAATGAGAGGAAACAGCTGTGTAAACCACCCAGGAAAATGCTTTAAATAATCAGGAAAGGCTTCCAGTAATGAAACCTTTATTTCCCTTTATTTATATTCACTTAGATTATTTGAAACATTCCCATTCATTAATCTTAATTTGTGTATGGTAATAGCTTATATTGATTAAAAATAGTATGTTCCAGGCATAGGCTGAAAATTCACATGTGCTGTCATTCAGTTATCACAACAGTCCTGTAAGGTAGGTATTACTATTATTATTCCTATTTTATACATGAGGTAACAGAGAGTTAGAGGGTGTAAATGACTTACCCCAAATCACAGAGCCAGTGAGGTGCAAGCAAGGAACTGAACCCAGGTCTATTTAGCTCAAGAATCAAGTTCTTCATCATTCCACTGGGCTATGTCCTAACTCCCCAACTTTTTAAAGACCATATAATATATATATTTATATTTATATTTATATCTTCATCATTCCACTGGGCTATGTCCTAACTCCCCAACTTTTTAAAGACCATATAATATATATATTTATATTTATATTTATATATCTTCTTTGTTTTCCTAATATGCCCAAAATAATATTTAATAATATGCCTTGATGGATTATTTGAAATAACTTATAAGGAGAGGATTAGATATGCCAAAAGAACAAAACAGATCCAAATTGGCCTTCCACAGCCGAGTCATTATTTTAATAGACCATAGTATCAGCAGAACAGTTGAGGTAGAAATCAGACTTTAGAGAATAGGTAGGAGTGAGTAAAGGCTCAACACTAGAGCAACCAGAAGTTATATAATAATAAAGGGAAAGAAAAAGGGAGCTAGAAAAAGGGAGGCAGCTAGGACAGGGAATTTTTAGGGTTAGAAAAGGTCTGTACATGTTTAAAGGAACCTGTGGAAATAATGAAATGCAAAATACAGGATGTGGTAGAGAAAATAACTGTTTGTATATAGTAATAATAACTAGGGGATTGGGAATGCCTTTAAATGGCTTAGCCAAAGATGAGGGACTCGCCTCTAAAACTGTTTTTAAAAAATGTTAAGAGAATGGGTATGAGTAAACTTAACCAGATGGCCTAGAAGAAAGGGGCAAGAGAAGGTGTTGGAGTTGGAGAACATGAGGTTTTTAAAGGTCATGGTTAGAAATAGTAAAACAGCAATGATTATTAAAAGAAATTGTGTAATCCCGAAACCAGTGGAACCTCAAAGGCCTAAGTTTTGCATCTGACCACATCTTTCTTTTCTTTTTTCCTAAACTCTTCCCACCAGTAATTATCTGTAGCTAAGAAAATAGACATGGTTTAATCAAAAGTTGAGAATTAGTAGAAGACCACAGTGGTAATATGAATGTATTCCACATGTAAATAAAAAGCAGTTAGAAGAGACTATTTTTTATATAAAATTTCAAACAACATAAAAACAATTACAAGTTATTTGCTTTTCAAAGTTAATAAAACACGTTGAACTTCATAGGATTCCAGAAATGTGTATAAGCCAAGATCTCTGATCTGTGGTAGATGCTAACTAACTCTAGTTGAGGCCAGCTAGCCTGGCCATTTAAATGATAGATACTACAGTTTTCTTCATCATTACTATGTAAGTCTCTTTCTTCATACTCTAAAAAAGATAACCTTCTTCCATCCCTGTTTATCCTTACTGTATATGAGCTGATTAAATGAAAAGATTGTGGTCACTGTGGTGTCCAAAGTTAGAGAACTGTAAAAAGAAACAGCCTCCCACTACACAAAATTTCTTAATATTTTCTAAAGCCATTTTTCTTTAAAAGGAAATAAAAATATATGCAGTTGGCCCTTAAACAACACAGGGATTAGGGCTACTGAACCCTCAAGCAGTCAAAATCCATCTATAATTTTGACTTCCCCAAAACTTAACTACTCATAGCCCCCAAAACTTAACTACTCCCCCAAAACTTTCCATGTATAATTTTGACTCCCCCAAAACTCAACTACTCATAGCCTACTGTCGAACAGAAGCCTCCCTGATAACCTAACAATCAATAAACACATATTTTGTACTATGTACCAAATTCTTTCAATATAAGCCAGAGAAAAGAATATGTTATTAAGAAAATCATACAGAAAATACATTTACAGTACTGTACAGTATGTATTGAATAAAGTCCACATATAAGTGGACACATGCAATTCAAACCCTCATTGTTCATGGTCAACTATACATACATGTTGAGCCTAAAAATATGTGGCTATCACTAGAGTGGGAACTTCTTATAATGACTTTACTGCTTCTCTGTTTAAGTTCTTTTGCTTGTCCTCCAAAACACCTTCCCATTTGAGGAAGAGAGGACCAAACTCTTAAGATACATATATATCCCACTACCCAGTGTGCACTATATGTGTGTGTGTGTGTACATATATATGACTTCTCAGCAGTTCAAATTCCATAAGATGCTGCAAGGCTTAAGAGTTAAACTTGTCTAATATATTAGCATCACAGATAAATGTTGATTTACCTGAAGTATACTTTTCCTCATAACTATTCAATGGCCTGAATTTTATCTATGAAAACAGCCAGCCTGCAGAATGACAGTCTTCCCCAAAGAGCATTAGAGTACAGTTCTGAGCACTGCAAATTTCAACTCCTTTTTCTCCTTTTGGTGATATTAGCTTTCTATAGATCCATGGTTTTCATTCTTCTTGAGAATAGGAACTTCTTTTTAAATTTTCATATGCTTGGTCTTCCCCTTGTTTTGGAGGAGATAATGACAAAATGCAAACTTTCTCTTGAGAAATTGTAAAATGTGGAATTTGTCTGAATATAATTTCTGTCATAATAAAATAAAATCATAATAGTTGCATCAGCAAGATAATCTGAAGACAATAAATAGAAGCTCTGTTTCAGTAGACTTTAATCTTTTCTCTGTTATTTTATTGACCATCCTAGAAAACAGAAGAGCTTTAATTACAATAGTATCCTGATGTTTACAGAATATTCTACAATAAACTGAACTTTCTAAATATAGTGTATTTCAGTTTTAAAAAGCTTGTGTTATTTTCTTAAGATAAATGGCATAATCCAGTTCATGAGAAACCTTAATATTCTTTAGAAATCATGTGTGTGTGTTTAATGTTAGATTAAAAGAGTATTGATTCTGTAGTTTGAGGGTGAAGTTTCACTAATTTGTCAGAGTAATTTGGACTTCCCTAAACATGGCCAACTTAATTTGTAGAAAACAGTTCAGAAAACCTCTTCCCACACAGTAGTACTGTGGTAGAATATCTTTAAATTTTTATCATTTTTCATTTGTTTCTTTATGATGCTTTAAAATAATATATCTCACTGGACTTTCTATGTTTGTTTTACTTTTTACTATATCACTGTGTTTATATATTCTAGGGTCAGTGATGAAAAGGATGCACGGGGCTATCTTCAGGCCTTGGCTTCTAAAATGACTGAAGAATTGGAAGCATTGAGAAGTTCCAGCTTGGGTACAAGAGCAACGGTAAAGCTCTGCCATTTCAGTGGAGGCTCATCACACCAGGGAAAGGCTCAGATACACTGTCATAAACATGCTCGCTTAAATTAGTTTGTTCAGGCTTTAGCTTCTTATCTGGGCTTTTATGAGATGTTAGTTAGTCCAAGTCTCTCCCAGTTTAGGAAATCATAATACATAACTGCTTAACTGTAATGTGTATGGCTCAGTCATTATTGATAATAACTATAAAAAATAAACTTATTTATATGTGTGTCTACAGTTATTTTTGAATTTAATGAAAAATAATTTTCATAAGTAATTTTTATATTCTATTGTTATTAGAGATGGTGTTTTTAAGTAGTTCCCAAATTCAATTAGATTACTAAATTTAAATGTTAAAAATAACATAGGACAGAGTTAAAAACACAGTCACGTTATTTTATAGGATATGCCCTGGAAAATGCGTCGTTTTGCAAAACTGGATATGTCGGCTAGACTGGAATTGCAGTCAGCTCTGGATGCAGAAATAAGAGCTAAACAGGCCATCCAAGAAGAGCTAAATAAAGTTAAAGCATCTAACATCATAACAGAATGGTGAGATTCATGAATACAGTCTATTAGAATAATTTCTAAGTTGGGCCAGAAGTATTTGGAGAAAAGTTACATGTTTGATTTCCTACCTCTCACTTCTTTTTTTTTAAGCAATGATGAGAAGTTAGGAAGATTTAAAAATTAATAGATGTTTTCAAGCCTTGTATGTGGTGATAGATTTTAATACACCTTTGTTTTCCTCTGACTTGTCCATGAAGTGGAGTTAATTAATAGTACTCATTAACATTCTATTATTTACTTTTCCCTTTATTTGTAAAATTTAGTTGACTCTCAAATTTTATTCTATTAAATCTAAAATTCTTTCATTTTAAGGAATATCAGTATACAAATGCCACATATAGTCAGAAACAAAATGCAGTCATCTGAAAACTCTACCATAAATCTTTTACCAATGATGGTTCTATTGATGGTAAATTTCATAATGGTATATTTTACTTGTAACTGTTCTTCATGTTCTATTTCATATTAAAAAAAAGTATAGCCCCCACAGTCTGTGAAACAGTTAGCTAATGAATACATTCCCTCAATTACCACAACAGTAGAGTAAATTATATATACTCTGAATAAGTATATGATAAAATAAAAATCATAATTGAGTTGGCTATAAATATGACTCAAGAATAAATCAGTATAGGTGATAAATGGAGAAAATTCACTGTTACAAATGAAAATACAAATAGAAAATCCATTTGGTTCTCAGAATACCACAGATTTCAAAGACACTCAATCATGGAAAGAAAGTCTCATAAATTCAGTTTTTAATGATGTGAAGACTCTGTCCTTAAGCCGCAGTCATTAATTTATTGAATCAAATCAAAAGCCAGATACACAGTATGTCATTTGAATTACAAATACTTGTTATATATAATCCAGACATAAATTAAGTATGCTTCACTTAAATGTGCTTAGTGTGACACTGAAAATGGAAAAAAAAAAGGTTTTCTGGAGAATATGAATTGATTCCAATGTAAACAGCTAACTGAATGTCATTCCCTGTGTTATTATTCAGAATAAGTATGAAGAAAAGCCTAGGACATAGGAGTTTACACATTTATTCATAAGTCAGGGCTATGAGTGAAACTGAAAATTATAAACATACTCATATATATGTTCTGCTTTCATGGTTCTCTATGACTATGAAAGAAGTCTAACAAAATTCTAAAATTGACCTTTGATTTTAAGACATTTTTAAATTTAATAATTTAGTTCAGGATCAACAACTTATTGTGTGAACAGCCAGATAGTAAATACCTAAGTCTTTCTGGGTTACATAGTCTGTCTACTCAGCTGTGCTGTTCTGGTGCAGAAGCAGCCACAGACAGTGTGTACATGAATGAGCCTGACTGTGTACCAGTAAAACCTATTTACACAGAAGTAGATGACAGGCTGGATTTGTCTTTCCTCAGTAGTTGGCAGTTCCCTGCTTTAACATGACTTATATTTAAACCAGAGAAGTCTAACTCCATATGTGATAGCTCACTAAGCAGCAATAAAAATAATGACACTTTTCCTTTTTCTCCCTTATTTAAGTAAATTAAAAGATACTGAGAAGAAGAACTTGGAACTACTGTCAGAAATCGAACAGCTGATAAAGAACACTGAAGAGCTTAGATCTGAAAAGGGTATGAGAATGTGTTTTGCACAATCAGGACTTACTGTTCTGCTATGAATCATTTTCTTACACAAGAACCAGCTTATTGTGTAGGTGGGAGAATTGTTCACACAAGCAGTTCTGGCACTCATTTATGGAAATATGTATGTATATGTCACACACACCCCTTTTGCATACTGATCTCTGAGTCATTTTGTTTTATATAATATTCATGTTTAAAGATTTGATAGTCACAGAAAAACTCACTTTGCCATAAATTTGATTGTTTTATCCAGTGCCATGGACTATTTCACAGACAATATTTGTGTGATTAGAAAAAAATTATTATTTTATGATATACTTTATAGTACTCTCAAATGTTATACAGGGTTCACTCCCAGGGTAAAGGAAGCAATGTATGAAATAACTAAAGATTACTTTAGTCCAGTCTTAAAATGGCAAGTCAGTGATGAAGAATTATTTTGAGCATTTCATTGTCTTCCGTTTTTGATTCTTAACTTGCTTACCTTGTGGGATTTCCTGGCATTTATTCTTATTTTCTTGAAAACATTACTTTAGCATTTTTCCATCAATGTGAATAGTAACTCACAGTGCTTGGTATCTCTATTACATGAACTTCTTAAACTTTCTTTCCATATGGAAGCATTAGGAATATGAAGATTTAATAAAAAAATTTGGAATGTTTTCTTAATGAAGGGATCTCTTGTATGCAGTTATTAGAAATTCATTTTCCTGACAAAGTCAGTATTCTGATGGATACTGAACTATTAGTGGGTTTATGTTTTCCTTAGTACCTCCCTGTCACTCTTAGCCCTGTGACACACAGTGAAGTAAGCTGGTCGGTCTCTCCATCTGCTTTTAAAATTGTGGAGGAGAAAGGGTAGTCACATAAAGGACGTAACCTGAAAAAAATCATTAAGAGTGAAAAATGTTAATATGTTTTTATTGATTGAATTTCCTAGTAAACAAGAAAGGAAGGAACCCAGAAAAAGTGAATAAGGAACTCAGGATAGGAGAATCAAGCTGAGTTTTCATACATGAAGAGTAGAAGGAAGCCCTATTGTTTGGTGGGTAGAGGAGAAAGAATATGTAACACATGGACGACCTGTGGCCCTAAAAGCAGTTTATATAGATAAGACTAGTGCAGATGACTTGTGATACACTAGGTGACTTTGGCTACATCGTTTGTAGAATAGATCTGAACTTAAGAAAGAAAACACTTAAGTTTATCACATTGCTTTATGAAAACATGTTAACCTACTGCTTTTTATTTTTATTTTGAACATTGTAGAAAATAAAATTTCACTGTTGTAACATAATATACTATACTATTTAAATAATGTAATGTAATATTTATGTAATTAACACAAGGATTTTTTTTCTGCTTTACTTACTGTAATATCCTAGTACCTAGGCAGGGTTTGGCACATATGAGGCTCTCAATATTTACTGACCAAATGAATTTCTGAAAACATATTGCCTTAACTGGCAACTATCGTATGTTATTAGAGAGTAATATGAAAAGCACACAAATAAGGTGATGTCAGTTCTGAAGGTTAGGAAATCAAAAATGTGTGCTTGGTTGTTTCTACTTTTTCCTTCCTAGTATTTATCGTTTTAGGTATATTTGAAGAATTATTTTGGAAATTACGCACTTAAAGTTAATTCCATAACCAAGAGATAATGCATGTTTTGATTCATCTAAGAAAAACTGTGGTTTGGATTCTTCATTCTGTCAATAAAGCAATACCTGAAATCAGATTGAGACCTTTACAAAAATTTTTTTCTTAAAATAATTTTACAGTTTTTCATAATTAATCAAAAGGTTTTTTTCACATTTGTTTTATCACTGCATTATTTTCTTATGAAAGTTACATTGGTCAGTACATACTATATGTTTGATAAGAGTATTTCAAAAAAGAATCTTTTTTTGATGATAACTAGCTTAGGAAAACAGACATAATCAGGGACCTATTTTTAAAATTCTCTCAAGTCTACCAAAATATTTAGTGTGTCTTTCATAATGTGCTATATGGGAAAGAGAAATTCAAGAACTCTAGTAAATCAAGAAACAGGTGTTTCATGGAGACTGATATAATTTAACTGTTAACTTACGTTTCAAGAAACACTGATGCATTTTAGTTTTTTTAATATGTAGAGTTGTTGATCAGCTTGAAAATATGGTAGTTTGTGAGCAGCTTTTAATAGTTTCAGACAAGAAAGGTGATCCATGAAAACGAGTTGTAATTATTCTAGTTTTAAAAAAAAGTTGCTGCTGTCTTCTAGGTATAGAGCACCAAGACTCACAGCATTCTTTCTTGGCATTTTTGAATACGCCTACCGATGCTCTGGATCAATTTGAAGTAAGTATTCAACTTTGCAAATATCCTCTGCAGTCAATTTCAAACTAAATATCCTTTATGATTTAAAATTCACTTGCAATAAATCATCTATTGCATCCCACATAAGCAGACCCTAGAATCATATATAAACAAAAACATACTAGGAAAGGAATATATTATGCATTCTTATGGAAACTATAAGCACATTCGCATTTAAGTAAAATATAAGACAGGTCTAAATATGAGAATCGTTATAATATTTAAAAGAAATTTCATCTCATCCCCTGAGAAACAGTAAGTGCTGAAAAAACCCTAACTTTTGAAATAATTTTGACACTTTTCTTTTTTTCTCCAAAGCATAGCTACCTTAAAAAACAAGTGAAAATGTCAGAGCTCACAACAGGAAATGCTGGTTCTGGTTCCAAATCAGTTCAGTTGTTTAGAAGTATACAGTAGGAATGCTTTTGTTAAAAGTATTATATAGACTGCATTAACAGATTTCAGATAATAATGAAATAGTAATTATATGACTGTCATTTTTTAGTACTTAAATTCTTTGCTAGGAAAAAAGAAATCTATGATATAAATTGTCTCAGAAAATTAAAATTAGTGATTATATCTTTAACAAGTAATTGTAAATGCAAGGCACTGTTGTAGGTGCTGGAGATATACTAGTGACCAAACATATTAAGTTAGGCCTCAAAGAGCTTACTTTCTGGTGGGAACAGTTAGACGTAGAGATTGTATTGCTCACTTTTAGTCGTTATCTTCTAAAGTGCTTACATTGAATTTGATTATTAATGATTTGCCATGAGCTTCATTTTATTACATTTTGGGTACAGTATATGAATTACATTTCCTTCCTTTGGGAAAGGAAAAAGAATCACTCTTTAAAAAGTAATGAATTTCTATGTTTCTTGAGAAACAGTGACTGCTTTTCTCATTTATTTGAATAAATATCATTTGCCTTTCAATTGCTTTACAAATTTTTGATTTATTATTTGTTCTTATTAAATTGCTTCACCCATATTTTCTATTTTTTATTGCTGTATTCGTTAAATAGGATTCCTTTTCTTCTTCCTCATCTTCACTGATTGATTTTTTGGATGACGTAAGTCTTTGATTTTCAAACCAATGCATCCTTCAGTAAAAGAGATCAGTGAATTGATATGAACAGTTTGCCTAGTAATGCAGTCAGGTTTAGAAATATCATACTTGATAATTTATTTGTGAGCCAAAATTTACTTTCTTATCTTCAATATAATGAAAAGTTTATATTTATTGACATAATAAAATATGTACTTTGAAAAATGCCTTGGCCATCAGAGAATCTCTGTATTTTCTTCCCTTGCAAGAATTCTGAAGGCTGGAATGCTTATTTGATATTTTCACTATATATACATATACATATATATATATATGTGATGTTAATTTTTGTTTTTCATGGTGATTTCTATTTCACATTCTCCTTTTCTTTTCAGCATTCTGCTATTTAATTTATGTTAGTTAAAAGTAAATTTCTGGTGGTATCAGAAAAAGTGACATGTTTTATTAAATCTTTCAGTAGGTCTTATTGTAATATAATAATTCAGTACAAATCAATTTTAAATGCTGACAGAATTTCTCTTCTAATGTGGAAAGTGATCTTAATTAACATATGTACTATATGCACTGTAAATTGACTGCATTATCATTTTTCTCTCCTAAATTAATTCTGTAGATTTAAGAATTTAGAATTTCCTAATGTGTATCATTCATTCTCTTCACAGAAATGCCAGATATACACTCTCTCTATTTCACATTAAATAGCACAATAATCCTCACTGTAAAGCATTTTATAGTCCTGTTGAACATTGTCTTCCAGAAGTTGGGGAATAAAATGAGTTCAAATGCAAATATTGTGCATAGAACTGCTTTTAAAAAGGGGGAAATTCTTTAAATGTTTTATTTTTTTGTGTTTTGTTAAGTGTAATTCTTACATACAGAAGAGTACTTAGCACAGTTTTCCACCAAAGGAAACTCTTAACAAGATTTTTTAAATTATATTTTAAGGTGCTTTTTGCTATCTTTGAAATGCTTATACCAAAGTGTGCACCTTTTCATTCTCAATGGCAACTCTCCTATTATTGTTAAGACAATTAATTATTCTAGTAAATCCTACAGTGTGATAAAAAGAAAACTCTCTTGACATACAAAAGTATTTTATGTCATATCTGTGTATTTTACTATGCTAAAATATTCAATATAGTATCTCCATACAGATATCATTTACCCTAAAGAGAATGAAAAGGAAATTTGAATTAATTATGTTAATTACTCTTGCCACTAAAAAGCCATTCACTTTTCTAGCACACTTTCCTCTATATTCCGTTTTCTCCCACAAAAATCTGAATGTAAAAACTTAGTAGTATGTTTTGGCAAATAGATTAGCTTTGCTGAATAGAAGCGTCTGCAGGAATGCACGCCTCAGCTGGCTGCCGCCTCGGCTCTCAGTGCCACTGTCCTCTGCCGCTACCAGCCTAGTGAGTTTCCTGCCTTCACTTTTTCTCCAGGATTCCCCTCTGTTGCTTCACCCACTAGTACTCAGAGTAAACTCCTTTCAAGCATACAACTAAATTTTAAAGTAGTACAAAGGAACTCCATTATAAAGCAATAAGGAACTGAGTTCACAAAGGCTGCTGAATCTTTATGATTCAGGCTCCAGCCCTTTTAAGGCATATTTTTTCCCATATTTGCTTCCTGAGGTTCTCTTCTCCCAGTTTATTGGCTAAGCACATAACGTTAACTCAAATCCTGCTCTACCACCTTCTCGGTGCATGACTTGGAGCAAGTGATTTAACCTGTCCATGTCCCAGTTTGATCATCAGACAAATAGAGATAATAACAGTACTGATCTCATAAGGTTGTTTGAGAATTTAAAGAAACGACATATATAATGCCCTCAGTAAAATTGGTTATTATTTCCCTGCTCTTAAAGGCCAGTTCTCTCCCTCCCTGTGTTCTCTCTAGCGTCCTTTTCATATACATGCTTTCTTAGCTCTTCACCACTCAGCCTTCACCCACCACCAGTGTGGATCACCATACTTCCTCAAGAATCACCAAATCACATTACCATTGGAAATTGATTTTTACCTGTCAGAGCAAAGACCAGCAGTAAGCACCCATTTTAAAAATTGTTTTGTATTCCTAGTTTATATTTTATGGCATAAACCTCTTGTTTCTCTTTACAGTTTATAACCAGGACTGCCCTTCCCAGACTTAACCATCCATTTCATCCTCAGAGTAGTAGTAGAATGATGCTTTGAATAATGGTATCAGTTTTTGGCCTGCTTGGCTTCAGCATCCAGGATACTTAAAAAATTCAAGTTCTATTACTTCCTTTCCCTTAGGCATTTGGATTCTTTTTTTTAAAAATTTTTTATTAAGGTATGATTGATATACACTCTTATGAAGGTTTCACATGAAAAAACAATGTGATTACTACATTTACCCATATTATCAAGTCCCCACCCATACCCCAATGCAGTCACTGTCTATCAGTGCAGCAAGATGCCACAGATCCACTATGTGCCTTCTCTGTGCTACACTGTTCTTCCCGGGATCCCCCACACCATGTGTACTAAACAACACCCCTCAATCCCCTTCTCCCTCCCTCCCCACCTGCCCTCCCACACCCCTCCCCTTTGGTAACCACTAGGCATTTGGATTCTTAAGGAATAAAATCTTGATTGTACCTAAACTAGTTAGATTGTTTTGCATAATACTTACATAATCCGTGACTATCCTCCATAGAATACATCTTCTGGTCATTCTTTTCTGTTCTCTATATCACTGCTATAGAAAAAGATTATATTGAAGATCTAAAATTTGAATTGTAACTGCAACATGTAGGTACAGGAGGGAACAGGCTGGTATGAAGCAAAATTACAGAAATCAAGTTTTCTTTGGTGTCCACACATCATTGACCTTCCCCATCTGCCCTCAGTGCCCTCGTTCTAGCTTCTGGTGCTTCAGAGCTTTACCACCAGTGCCTCCACTCCTCCAAAGTAACTTCTGTTTTTTTCCTGAACCCTCCTCCCACACAGGCCTATTGAAACTGTAATTCTATTACTTAAAACTGTATACATAATCACTCTCCCACCTCTATAATTTTTCCTCAGTATGTTTTAACTGTTAATTCAAAATTCAAATGAATGCTAGAGTTTAACTTAGGAGAACTTAGACACTTAGGCTTTTCTACATGTAGAATCATAGACTTTCGAGGGAGAAAGGAACCTTAGGAAGTATTTATCACAGCACTGTCCCTTTAGTAAAGTGGACTGGTCGCTCTCCCACTAGTAGGAGTGAGTTTTCAGGCTTCTCAGTCTTTGGGGGAACAGGGAAGTGGTGATCCAGGGGTTGTGGATGACATGGGGTAAGGTGTTCCCAGATAAAGTATTAAGGCAGCAGTAGCACAGACTCTAGGACCCCTTCTGCTGTGGGAATTATTCCCTCTTCTACACTCATCTTTCTTCCAGTCCCACATGTGCAGTCCCAGACTGCCATTGATTACTCCATACCAGGCCCAGCCTCCTCCTCCAGGTAGCAGACCAGGTGAGGGGTAAAGGGAAGCACAGCAGCTTGGGTTTTCCCATGTCTCTTCCCTTCATCCCAATAGCAGTGATGATCCAGGCACCATCAGACTAAGCTTACAGGACTTCCCATTCTGTTCAGTTCAATTTCTTCTTTTCAAATGAACCCCCAAAATATTTGACTTTTTAAAAGTATTGCTGAGTCATATAAATTATCTACTTGCTCTTTATATTTGATAAATATATTGTCATCTATTAAATACATGCAGGTAAGTTTTGGTTTTATTAAAGTACAGTTCTACACTCTGTTCTTAGGTCAAGTTTATAAAAATGGAAATTGCCCGTTTACCTGACAAATGAGAGGGTACCTAAACTTGTTTTTTGGAGGTTGTCTTTTGGCTCTAGTGTACTGAGGAAAGAGTAAATCAAGGAATTAAAGCTCTCAAATAAAAAGGTCAGGCATAAAGGAATAGGGAGTCCAGCTAATATTGCCTTGTTGTCTTATGTCTTCGATTTGGCTTCAGATGAAGTCTTATTAAAATGTCGCAAAATATTTAAATTCAGTCCTGGATTCTAGCTTCCTTGGTTTTAACATCATTTTCTCCCGTAACACCTGTCATAAGCAATCACAAATCTGAGGCTTGACAGCATTGTTTTAGATGTATCTGGGGAGTTGATCATAGGTGAGAATCAGTATAAGATAGAACCTTAAAATGTGCATTGTAAAGATTTCTTAATCCTATGACCGAAACTAGGGCTAGGTCCTTCTGAGAAATTATGGCATTCCTAAACTTTCCTCCTTCAATTCTTGTTTTTTAAAACTACCTTCCACATGTTAAGCACAGCCTGGCTTGAAACTCTCACATTTCAGAAGACTGTCATATGCAGTCCTTCACTAATTTAGGCAATATGTTATACTTACATGTATTTTATTGTATATCACATATCCAATATGTTTAGGCAGTCTAGTGGGAAAGAACCATGTCTACGTAGTCTTTTACCTCTTCTTATATTATTAAATAAGACCTCTGGAATCCATTAACTGAACCTTAAAAATCTGTTAGCTAAATTATGTATTTACAGGATAAATTACTTTTGGTTTCTGATTGCGTGCATACTTCTATAATCAGCCTTGAAATTCTAGTGACAGTTTATAGGTCTAGATATAAAATACGTATTTGTAAGTGATATGTATTCGCATATTAAGATAACATGCTGGTTTCCAATGTTTGCTATGAGACAAATTTTAGTGTTTACAGAAAACCATGGCCATGTATGAGAGAGAGGTTGTGTGTGTGTGTGTGTGTGTGTGTGTGTGTGTGTGTGTGTGTGCCTCTAACTGTACTATCAGGAAAATGTATAATTTGTTCTTTTCTACTGAAAGCATAAAAATAGTCTGATTTCTAGGTAGACACTTTGGGAAGAACATTATCACTATAGGATTTAGTATCACTATTAGTTTTATACAGTGCCAGCTTAGAAAATATGTTGCCCTTCATATGCAAAGATAGTTTTGAGAGACATTTTTACTTATTTTTACTATAGTGATAATGTATTTACTTTGAACTATTCATGTTTGTTTTCATGGTTTTAGCATACTCTAGACTATGGCCTAGAAGCAGGGATAGCCAAAAAATATAGCTTCTTTATGTTAAACAATATAGCACTTTTTATGTGTGGTATTATACTATGGACAATGGCAGATACTAAGAAAAATGAGACAGACCTAGATCTCAGAATGCTTATCTTATTATTAGGAAAAATAAATACATAGTTACGTAGTATGTGATTTAGAGCATGATAAGTACCATAAGAAGTAGTTAGGTTAAATATTGTACAATTTCAGAAGGATTCATTCAGTATTTATTAAGAATTTTTAATTTTACTGGCATTATGCTAAGCACTATACAATATTTCCTGCCCTTGAGGATCTGAGTCTGGTGGAAAAGACAAACATCTAAATAAATAATTATAATACTACTGGGTATAATAATAAAAGATACAGACTGCATATCATGAAAGTATAAAGGAGAGATACCTAACTGAACCACGAGAGTCCAGAAAGGCTTTCAAAATGAAATAATACAGTATGGGAGAATATATTCATAAATGACAGATCTGATAAAGGGTTGACATCCAAAATATATAAAGAGTTCATGCACCTCAACAAAAAGCTAATAATCCAATTAAAAAATGGGCAGAGGAGCTGAACAGACAGTTCTCCAAAGAAGAAATTCAGATGCCAACAGGCACATGAAAAGATGCTCCACATCGCTAATCATCAGAGAAATACAAATTAAAACCACAATGAGATATCACCTCACACCAGTAAGGATCACCACCATCCAAAGACAAACAACAACAAATGTTGGCAAGGATGTGGAGAAAGGGGACTCCTCCTACACTGCTGGTGGGAATGTCAATTAGTTCAGCCATTGTGGAAAGTAGTATGTAGTTTCCTAAAAAAACTCAAAATAGAAATACCATTTGACCCAGGAATTCCACTCCTGGGAATTTTCACTAAGAATGCAGCAGCCCAGTTTGAAAAAGACATATGCACCCCTATGTTTATTGCAGCAGTATTTACAATAGCCAAGAAATGGAAGCAACCTAAGTGTCCATCAGTAGATGAATGGATAAATAAGATGTGGTACATGTACACAATGGAATATTATTCAGCCATAAGAAGAAAACAAATCCTACCATTTGCAACAACATGGATGGAGCTAGAGGGTATTATACTCAGTGAAATAAGCCAGGTGGAGAAAGACAAGTATCAAATGATTTCACTCATATACGGAGTGTAAGAACAAAGAAAAAACTGAAGGAGCAAAACAGCAGCAGACTCACAGAACCCAAGAATGGACTAACAGTTACCAAAGGGAAAGGGACTGGGGAGGATGGATGGGAAAGGAGGGATAAGAGGGGGAGAAAGAAAGGGGGCATTGTGATTAGCATGTATAATGTGGGGTGGGGCACGGGGAGGGCTGTACAACACAGAGAAGACAAGTAGTGATTCTGTAGCATCTTACTACATTGGACAGTTGATGGACAGTGACTGTAATGGGGAATGTTGTGGGGTGGGGACTTGGTGATGAGGGGAGTCTAGTAAACATAATGTTCCTCATGTAATTGTAGATTAATGATACCAAAAAAAAATAGAAATACTACCTGAGTTGGCTCTTCACAGATGTGTATTGTCAGCAGAATACAAGATAAGCTGCATTAGAGCAATATATTCTAGGCAGGCAGAGCATAGTTGGGGTGAGAGAGTTGGCTGAAAGCAAAAAATGATGAAGGGAGGGAGTGATAAGAAATAAGTTTGAAGATGGGTAGGGGCCAGAATCATGATGTATTCTATGTCATAGAGCTTAGATTTAATCAGTCCCATGTTGTCATAGTTATTAAAGTAAGGTTTAACAAAGGAGAAGGTGAGCAGCTTCCTTTTGAGATGCCTTAGGGGTATACATGTGGAGATGTTCCCCAGATAGTTCTCAGTGTGAGTCGGGAGCTTAGGGAGAGGTGTGAACTGGAGTAGAGATCTGGAAACATGCAATACGGTTTCCAGGAAAGAGTTCTCCCAGGGGGAGATCGTAGTGTGAGAGAAGCAGTGAGCAAGAAAAGGGAAAGCTGGGAACCCTCGCTGTGAGGAGAGGCTGGAGGAGCAAAGGTCAGAGGGGAGGAGGTTATGCAGCGAAGCATTTGTCACAAAAAGGATGGGAGCACAGAGTACAGGAGGGAATAGTCCACAGCAAGAAGGTTGGTACAATAGGACAAACAGGAAATCCTGATCTTACCAGCATTTCATTAGTGACCAAAACAGAAGCCAGACTATGTTGTATTGGGAAGTGAATCGAGGCGTGGAGGGACACACAGTAACCGTATACCAGTTTTGAAAAGTCTGACCAAGAAGGTTTGAATCCCAGTTGCACCACTCAGTCGGTTTTGTGACCTGTGGCAAGTTAATCTGCTTACTTTGTGTGTAAAATGTGGACCATAATGCCTACCTTATGAGGTTTCTAAGAAAATTAAGAGAGTTCTTAATTAAGAGAATTAAGAGAGTACTTTGAAAAGTACCTGCATATATCATGCACATGATAAATATTAGCTACTATTGTTGAGGAGGAGAGGAGAAATAGAATGTTAGGTAGAGGAAGGGTTGGGGTTGAGTTGTTTAATGTTTGCTTTTTTGGTGGTGGGACTGAGGGTGATGAAAGAGGTAATTCCTATTAAAACTGGAGGGACCATAACCAGGTTTGAACCTGAGACTTTGCACCCACCGTAATGGAAGACTGACTGGACTAAAAAACAAAAACCTGTTTAGAAATCTACAGGCTTCTTAATCCTGGTTTGGGACACAGTGTTCAAGTCACATTCCATTCCGGTTTCCTAAAGAAATAATCCTGTTTACTAATGTGCCAGAGTTACATACAAATATAACTAATAGTCTTGAGTGATGTTTTTATCCTTATTTTTCTGAAGTCTTTTCTAACTTCAGTGGATTCGGTTTGTAAATGTCCCCCTCCAGGTCCCTCCTCAAGGGTTCCGTGCAAACTGCACAGTATGAGTCACACTGCTGACGGCATGGTATCTCTCCCACCTGACTGGAACTGTCATGCCATCTTTATCTTTTAGGTGCCTGACACATGTGGTGAGCCCTTACTAGGTGTTAGGGTGAATTGAATACAGGAAGTTGCCTGAGTGGAGAGGGTTTATATTTATTTATTCATGTATACTGCTGAAGTATCACAAAGCTTCAAAAACTTGAAAAATATTTTGATATAATTGTTACCTACTTATTGCTATTGTTTCTTTTTTCTAATTACTTAATTCTTTAATATCAGAAAAGTGAAGCTCCCTCTTTTGACTGAGTCTAATATCTAGTCAGGATTGGACTATGTCATTGAGTAACTGGTTTTGTTTTAATCTATTATCCTTAATTCTGAAGGCCTAATTAAGCTGTTATCATTTAAAGGAATCATCTTTGAAAAGTGGGAGAATTTGGTAGGCAAATGTCTGAAACAAGAATAGTTAATTAAATCCTTTATTAAATGCTTACAAGCACTAAATCAGAATTTTTAGATCCTTTTTGTTCCTGCATTTCAAGTTGCTGCTACTAGCCTTTCCAGAAAAGAAACTGGGCATCACTTGAAGGAAAGTCCAATTTTACCTTTATTGTTGCTCTTAGACCTAGTCTAAACAACTACTTTTTTACTGTCCTATCCTCCAGTTTTTCCTGAAACTAAATATACTTTAAATGTATCATAAAATGTGCCTTTATATGCACGTTTATATACTTTGTGTGTCAGTTCAGTAGTCGCTGAGAGTCATGTGTAATACTTGTAACATGCAGTGTTCTCTCTTTGTTGAAGCGCTCTCCATCCTGTACTGCAGCTAGCAAAGGCAGACGTGTAAGAGACTCCTGCACTTTGTGTACCATCCTGATGCCTCTACCCTGCCTCTTCTCCCTCTCGCCCGTGGTTGTAGAACATGCTATTTTTTGTGATGTGTTATTATGTCGTTTACTGCATGCTCTGTGCTGCTCTTGCTATCGCTACTCTGCTTTTCTGGGTTTTTTAGTTTTCTTTGTTTTTTTTTTGGCTTTGGCCTCAAAGCTTAAGGAATGTTTATATAAGTTTCTGTAATGAAACTAATACATTAGAAGGTATCTTTTATTATGGTTCAGGAAAAAAATGATCCTAAAGTGTGCTTTCTAAAATTTATCACATACAAAAAATGAGTTTCTAAATAAGAATCTGATACAAGCAAATATGTAGAGAGATTCCTTAGATATATAATTATGTAGAAAGAAAACTTGATAATTCATATTATGCAAAATTCAAAAAGATTTGGGACAAGTTACAGATCTCATTGACTGATTCGATGTAAATCAGTTTTGGAGAAGTCTTTGATAGATTGTTTTTTATGTAGTTCAAAGTAATATCCCTAAATATCTTATATGTTGATTTGAGATAGTAATGTTAATAATAATGTATATTCTAAGATATTTTCAAGATTTAGAAAGTATTTATAACATATTATATGCATTGATAAGAGACTATAAACATCTCCTATGCTGAAGTTAGCTCATTGTTTCTCAGACTGAAATGAACCAGCCACTACCCTGTCCTGCAAAATTCTCATGTGTCCAGAGTGGGGATTCTCTTTTTGTGGAAAGGTCTCAATTTTTTCTAAACTATCCTCCACTCCCAACACCAATATACACGTGTACAGACTCCCTAGTTGAGAAGCCATAGGCTAGGGGATGTTGTTCGGTCTGGTTTTCATGTATAGTATAAAATGGTAACATTAAAAAGGAAAGCCTGTGATAGATACAAGTTTTTAACTTTGACCTGTCAGCTTCATTATCGTTGGTATTGATCAGTACCTTAAATCCAGAATTCTTAGACTTGGAAAATTCTAGTTTAGGGAATTATTTGACTAATGAAGGGGATAGGAAGTAGTAGAGTGGCCACTGCTTCCTGTTCTCTTATCTTTCTGGTGTGATGGAGGGTCAGTTGTAAAATAAACATGATTAATCCTAATATAGCACATATTTTCAAACTAATGTTTAATAATGACTAAGCAGTTCATATACCAGTGGTATGGTCAATAGAACTGCAACTTTATCTGTCTTGTTAATTCATGCCGTTTATGTAAAGATTGCTGGTTTCTTAATTACTTTGACATTTGTAGAAAGTTAAAACCATTGGATATTTGGATTTATCAAATTAATCTGAGTTTATGTTAATTATATCATATAACCTCTAATAAGGAAGACTAAAATGTATGCCCAGTTGTATTAAGTTCAAATCATCAGCCTGTGTGAACTGACTAAATGTTGAACTGTTTGTTTTGAATAAGGTTATAATTCAGAGAGGTTTTGTTTTCTGGTTGAATTCATTATACATTAGTTATGTCTCACTTACCTTGCAGACTCCTAGGGACCATAGCCACCCAGAACATTTCTATGAATCTTAAAATATGGGATAATTATTAAGGGAATAGCTGTTATATGGACCCTACTCTTTAGTCTGTATCTTTATTCTGTAGGATATGACTAAGCCATACTCAACAGAATCTATTGACTTATAATTACATATAATTTTTTTTTTAATGCAGATGTGGTAAGCTTGGTAATTCACTTTCCAGGTTTCCTTCAATTTTTCCTTGGTTAAGTATCTGACAGTTGAAAAAAAATCAGCCACTGAAAAGTGGTAATGACTGAAAGAACTGACTGAAGAATTACCAGTTGTTCAGTAGTTAATAGAAACCTCTGAGTGGCATAGTGAGGCACCTCAATGGTCCACAGGAACATCAGTGGATTACAGAAGGACACACATAGATACCATTGATAACAGTGGTCTTGAATCCAACAGTGGCATAGAATTTTATGTTATATACTCTGTTTTGATGCAAGCAACTATGTAATACTTTTATAAATTTAAAGCTCTTTAGGTGATATGAAAAGTCACATGAGGTCTTACTGTATGTTTACTGTATTTTTATTTTCTGTGTGCTGTAAGCCTCATTTATAATTTGAATACTTATATCCTTTATAAGTGGTGTTATTTAAGTAAGCATGGTATAAAAAATATGTTACTAATATTAATGTCTTAATATAAATGGTTATGGAAAGGTCCGTAGTACTTTCATTAATGGTGAACCCTGTGGGTGTCTCATTTTAGATTTTTCCTTTAAGAACTTGAAGCAGAGATGATAAATAGCTAACATGGGGCTTAAGTTACTTTTATGTTTTCTTAGAACATTTGTTAATTCTCTAGAGTGGATATTCAAATCAATATATTGAAAATAAGTTCAAGAGAAATTTTCATAAAGAGTTAACAAGTCACATTTTTGGAACTAATAAGATTACACTTCCAAGTCATAACTTTCAGTAATTTATGATTTGTTTTAGAATGATAAAATATTTTATCTACTGTTTTCCAAATGATACAGTATTTCTATAATACTATTTCTTATCATAAACTCAGTTAACAAATATAATGAGATCACTAAATGTTTGAGGTTACAAAGTGTATCTGAATGCAAAAAATTGGATTACTTGCCATTTTGTTTCCAAACTGCTTAGAGCTAAAGATTTAAGATAATTGATGAGAATTGCATTTTTTGTTAACTTAGAGTTTTACATTTACCAATACAAAACAATAATTAGATGTAAGCTATTTTTAATCTATTTCAAGTTTATATCAAATCCATGTATCTTTCACTTTAAAACCGAGTTTCTTATGAGATTGTGTTGTTCCTTGTATTTGTTAAATCTGTAATTATTTTTGGAGTAGAAGAAGCCTCTTGATACATATCAAGATGAGTACTTTGGTTGTATTTATTATTTATCAGAAGACCATTCTGTAGAGTTTGAGTTGTTCTTAATTAGTGGATCAACTAAAAATCAGATCTGATCCAGGGGGAAAAGCTTTTCTATTTTAATCTACTATTCTAAAAACACACTTTTTGGATCATTCATTAGAGAAATTCTAATAGATTCAGGAAACGTTATGGACTTTTTACATGACAGTGTTATGCATTATGGACAATACCTCTGATACTCAGTTTTCCTGTTTCCCCCAAAAAAGTAGAGCGGTAAGTAAAAATGACATTGGAGTATAGATATTTCTAATGCTTATTCATCAGAATAACACCTTAACATACGTTTACTTAGAAAAAGGAATTAGCCAAAAAAATAGAAGTCACATTTACAAAAAGATAATCCTTATATATTTTTCTCAGTAGATTGCAGCTTAGAAATACTGAGTGAACTTCTTACACTACTAAGTTAAGACTCTTTCCATCAGCTTTCTTTGGATCAGAATAGACTAATTAATATTAGCTATTTGTTGCTTTTTGCTGTTTTCCCCTTATCATTCTTCCTGTAATTGTAAACCCAGCTATTGAATTAAGATACCTCTGCTGTTGATGTTTATCATATTTATTAGCATCTCCTGCATTATTGTTTACATTTATGCTGTTTATATTTAATGCTATAATATTTTTCATAATGAATTTTGTAATTCCCATGGTTTAAGTATAATAATTATTATATTTGTTTTAAAGGTAAAAATAACTAATATGCTATTAATCAGTTGCTTTGCTGTGGTATTTTACCTGAATCAATGCCAATCAATTATTAAGATTAATTTTAGGCTGTTTGTAAATCCTGGCATATATAGTCCTTGGGCACTCTGAAAGTTTAGTAAAATTAATTGCTTTTTTAGTGGATAGAATAAGTCATTAATCATGAATGCATTGGTAAGCAATTTAATTATAGATAAAATTAATAACATTGTACAAATAATAGCCCTGTTGATAATTAACATTTTGATATAGAAAACATGTAAGTGCTATTGTGTTTTTCTTATTCTTAATGTTAAATCTCTTTTGAGATATTATTTACACACTGACTGAAATCCAGAAAGGAAATGACATAGTAAAATCTACTCATCTAATTAGCTATTAGCTTCATGTAGAGTCTTAAAAGACCTGAAAAAAATGTTTTCAGTTGGATATTTAAAACTTTTTTTCCCACAAGTTTATTCATCTTTACCAAACTCTGTTCCTAGTCTTTTCTTTCCTAGAATTACTTACATACTCATGGTTCTTTAAAAAGTTCAAGTATCATTGTAAGTAGCATAGTTCAACTTTTTAATGCTCAATGCCATCTCAAAATCATATTCTAATATTTTTACTTATTTTTATTTATTTTTTTACAAAAACTAACTTGATATTGTTTAATCTCTGGGACTTATTTTTACTTTAAGAGCATACAGCTACAGAAAGCTAGTATGGTAATTTTCATTATTCTATTCTTTAGTATTAGTATTGGGCTTTTTAAAATTTTAAATACTCTCATCTTCTGAATAACCAATGTTTCCTCATTCAGCTAAGAAAAGACTCTTTAAACCTATTCTCATTCTTGTTGGTTTTTTTCTTTTTTTTCATTTTTATTGATGAGTAAAAACTTGTTAGGAGAAAGACTTATAAATGACAATAATTCTTTAGAAGGGCCACAGGGTCTATGGTGAAAGCCTTAAGAGTTCTCTAGGAGTCACTCACTTGTGTAATCACAGATTGAATTGTTACAGTGTGTGTTGTCCTTCATCACACAGTCATAAAGTCACACTTTCATAGAGTCATGGAACATGCTGAGAAATGTTTTCAGCCAACCGTGGTGCAGCAGGGAAAGCTTGACTTTCAGATTTGATGATTTTCATGATGTAAACCTGTGTTCCTCAGAGCACGTACTGTGCCAATGGCTGAAGGCAGTGTATCTTGACTCCAGTGCCAGGACGTACAGTCCATAAAACAGTGTGCATGCATTCCTGTGGCTCAAAGAGCACACCTGCTTTACAGTTTCAGCCAGTACAATTGGAAACCACAATTTCTTGCCTTT